TAATGTTACTCAATGTTTTGCTTCCAGCTACAGTTCTCGAACACTTTGAGGCCAAGAGCTTGCAGAAAAATTTAGGAAGGTCTGCTACAACCACTGATTGGGAAGGACGAAAACCTAAGATAATTGACGTGACCAATTCTTTGGACTTGGACACCTAAGAATGTGCCAATTTGTTTTACTAAATTTTTAAATGTTTATTCGAATAAAATATTCATAGCTACTTTTTGTTTTATTCCTTTGCATTCACACCTTCTATATTCATATCAGAAGGGTGAATTTTATTAAATCTATAAAATTATAATATATTTTGAGTTTTTAGTGCTATTGTGCAATATATTAAATTACTAATTTTCAGTGACTGAATCCTGTCTGAAGATCAAATGTACATTGCAAATGCTAAAAAATAAGAAAACAAATTTACATACATGTAAAATTTGGTTATTTTTAAACAAGCAAATTGTCTTTGATTTTGATTTATAAATCATAGTTTAGCTGAAAATAATTATCATGCCTTAAATTAATATTCACTTCTTACATTCCATCTACAGTGCTCACACTTATTCCTATTCACCTATTTTACACTTACTTAATTTTTAAGCTTATTACTGCTCAAATCCTAATTATATATATATATATATTTTTTTTTTTTTTTTTTTTTTTTTTTTTTTTTTTTTTTTTTTTTTTTTTTTTTTTTTTTTNTTTTTTTTTTTTTTGAAAAATCTGGCTACACACCTTGAACTTTGAAAGTATGACTTAAATACTTGCAGATATTTTATTCTAAGGCAATATTAAAAACAATATGAAATCTTTGCTCACTAGTTTGCAGAATACTCATTGTCTAGCATGCAAGGAAATTATTAATTTTCTGTTAAATAGGCATAGACTGAGCAGAGCATGTAGCTCTTTTCAAGATATCCTGGACAAATTTTGCGCAATATAAATTGAAGGATTTTTTTTTTACTCATTATAGATTAAATTTATTGAATCTGCAACTGTACAGCCTGGAGTGCAATTAGCGAAATAAAATCTGAAGTGCAAAAAAACATAAAATAATTAACAGACATGTAAATTTGTGCGGAATATTTTTTATAAAATCTTTTACAACGTTCAATTGCAAATTGATGAATTTTTCCACAAATTTTATAATTAACAACAAAAAAGAATAGTTACATGTATTTATAAAAGCTATTGTAGATGCGAAACGAAACTCAACTAATTGTTAGTTTAACCAAAAATTACAATATTTACTAAGAGACAGAGTATTTTTTTTTTTTTTTTTTTNNNNTATTTTTTTTTTTTTTTTTTGAAAGTGCACGATTACTTTTGTGGGATTAAGTTTTTGTTACTTTTTGATGATTGATTTCTTAAAAATAAACTTTTCCTTAGTTTTTAAAATATTCCATACAGTTTTGTTAAGATTAGAATATGTTTTTTATTATTAAATATCCATTCTGAATTATTCTTTTAATTAATGGATAGTCTTATTTCATTGAAAGTCATAAGTGTACCAACACTTTTGTGAGTCACTGTAATTACATTTCAATAGAAAGCTATGCTGTATTTTATATAACCAGTGATTTTTATAAAATTCATTGATCATATTTTCTTTAAACCAATATCTCAAGTCAAAATTTTAAATAATGTTGTTTGGAATTAGCATTATTATTTTAAGAGATTCAGTATACAAAAATAAATGTCACAAATGTAAAATAGTCTAATTTTTTTGTTCTATACTCTATAAAAGAAATTAGATGAAATTCCTTAAATTTTATACTTTTTTGATTTTATGTGAAATTAAAACATTTAAAGAATTCAAATCTAAACAAACAGTTTTTTAGTTTAGCATAGTTAATTGTTTTTGTTTTAACAACTAGAATCTTGTACAGCGCACAACTAAAACAATATGCTTCATTTTCCTTCTTCCGACTAAACACATATAAATATGAAAAAATTTATTTTATGTTTATACATCATTTAATATTTTTCCTACATATTCCTTAGTCCTTGTCAGCTTTTTAGGGTAAAAGGAAGGATAGTTTTGGAAATATCTCTGGAATGCAAGCCAATCCAATATTTACCTACTAAACAGTAAAATTAAATATTAATATATAGTTAGTTCTAAAAAACCTTTTTTTAAAAATTAAAATATGTTATAACAGATTAAAATGAAATAGAAAAAAATTAGCATTAATGCAACAATTGTAACAATTTGTCAACAAACATTGCTGTTAGCGATTGTAAAAAAATGTGTGATTGGTTGGTTTGCTGAGAAAAAATAATTTCCAGATTTCTTTGAATGGTAGTACAAAAGCTTTCACAAAAAGAGCTCAATATAAAATCTATTATTATTACATTATAACCAACTAATTTTTGAGAAATTTATTAAGTTAAAAATTCAAAAAACATTTTGACTCATTTTTTCAAAGTAGAAAAAAATTATCCCCAAAGCATTTCCATCTAAAAAATGTGGGTATAATGGATGAAATAATTTAAATTAAGAAAATTTGAAATAATTTAAATTAGTGAAATTAAAAAAATATCTAAGAAAAAATTTCCAGCCTTTCTTTAAAATTCCCTGATTTTTCCAGGTTTTTATACAAATTTCCCTGATTTTTCCAGTATAAAAAAATTCCTTGATAATTCCAGGTGTGGTAGATACGGCTGTTCCCAATACAAGGCTAAAAAACTATTGTTTGATATGTTTCCACATTTGCTTCAATATCAATGTCAAGAATGATAAAAACGGCTGTTCCCAAAACAAGGCTAAAAAATTTTTTGTTTGATATGTTTCCACATGTGTTTCATAAAAAAAAATGAGATCCTTATTCAAGACAACTAGGCATTTTTTAAAAATTTTTTACTATAGAAACACAGCGCCAACGATCACCAAAAACTTTAGTATAAATTGACTTATATTCCCAACTCAAGTTCATTAGAGACCGGCTCGACTAAACAGAACAGAACAAAATTTTGGTTTATTATTTGCTACGATGGAAAAGTTACACATCAAATGGGCAACTAATTTGGATTACATTGTTACCATTAATTGGATGAGTCATGATAATAAGTGGATACCTCGTTCAATTTTTTTTGCGGCAACGTATAAAGATAAAGAAGACAAAATGCTTGTGATTGACACAGAGTCATTAACTTAGTTCAGTTATTCTGATGTTTTAAAAAATCTTGATTTTGATCAATCAATTTATAAAGAAATTAATTGTCCATCAGTTAAAGTTTACCGGGTTGCTGCATGTGATGCCAATACAGTTTTGTAAAATGCAGGTAGACACACGAGAATACGTGATTGTAACAAAAAATTTTAAATGTTTTGAATACTATTAAATTGTGAAATTGTTTTGAGGAGACTGAACTAACTAAATTCTTTTGATCACTTCTTTAAATTTCGTTTACCTAATCAGACACACCTAATCAGTTTCCTTTGTATACAATGTTTCGGGAAGATAATCTTGCTGCAATATCCTTAATTCTTACAGTCACAACAAAATGATTCCTCTTAAAGAATCAGGTAAATGATTTTTTGATATTATCAATTACATTTTAAAAACTGATATGTTTACATGATTTAATAACTTATCCCTTAAAAAGAAAAATTTAAAAAAGATCTTTCCATTTTTTTCTGAAGAGATAAATTTTTATTATCAGAAAATGATTGGCGCAGTGATATGAGTGTTGTTCAAATGTGTCAGCAAATTGAATGTTAATATATACATTATCTTTCATACCTCAATTTTCTAAATTTATTAACGATTTGTTTCAAGCATTCCTTAAAATAGTTGTACCTTAATATTTGGAGAACTGTACTGAACATGCTTATAAAACTTCAGCATACAATTTTGCATGCCAATAATTTATTGTCCAATCATTCAAAATGAAATAAAGATTAGAGCTTTAAAAAATATTACTGATATCAGAGAAGATACAAAAAAATATAAATAAAATTAAAAAGAAATTATCACAAAAATTTAATTTTAAGCAAAATTTTCTATAATAAAACTCCTTAATATTTGGTGCTGATTTTGATTTAAAAATTATTCCAAAACTGTAATCTTTTTTATAAATAATATTTTGAATGAAAAAGAAATATCAGCCTTTAAAAATAATTTCCTATGGAAAACCTTTTTAAAACCTATCATTTAACGACCTCTCAGAAAAACACTATGTTCTGCACATACAGCCAGGGCTGATTGTGCTCCGGAGAAAATCCGGATTTTTGGCTAAAAGTGATCCAGAAGTTTCCGGAGATCAAAGATCCAAGCGTTTCAAAAATCATTGATCACAGAAGTTTCCGGAAATAAAATTTCAAAGGTAGAACTTAAAAACACAGTTTATTTTATTTGTTTGTAAAGGAGAGCCAGAGAGATACTTTATAAGCTTACATTCATGATTAGTATTCATTTTTTATCAGTAAATAGTTGTTATAATCATAAACTCAAGAAAGAAAGACATATTTGTAAATTTTAATTACTTCTCCAGGTCATCATAGGTATGTGTTAAATTTTAAATATGTTTTAAGTAAACTGAGAAATATTGAGAAAAATTTTTAAAAAAAACAGGTTTTAATTTTTTTCCAATTTTTGAATTTAAACTTTTTTTTAACTCAAGAAATTTTCCGGAATTTTGACTTAGGCTCACAATCACCCCTGTACAGCTGACTATAGCAATTTTTTTAACACAAAATGTCTCACTTTTTTTTTTTTTTAGAATATTGTAAGAGACTATGTTCTGGCTTCTTCAGTTCCTTAAATATTTTATATTTATTTGATTTACTCAACAGGCACAATCAAGAAGATGTCATGTAATTTTATAAGATCTTCAAAAATTACTGAAATTTTAAATTAAACATAATACATTTTTCTACCCTCCTCTAAAACTGATACTTTATATTAGTTTCAAATTCAATATAAGATATTAGTTAATATTTTTGTAGGAATTAGGAAAATACTTTGAGTGTTTGTCTGAAATAAGTGAAAGCTCAAATAAAAGTTTTATGTACACCATTTACTGTAATTCATATCACAAAAAACAACAACGTTGTTCATTAATACAGCTCTTTGTTTCAATATAAGAAGTAGTAATATGCTTCAAACCCCTTTATGTAGTTACCTTTATCTACACTTTTTTTTACTTTAAATTTTACTAAAATTTACATATCATTTCCAAACGAAACTAGTATCTTTGACACTTTATTACTTTATCTGTAACAATATTTATTGTTGGTATACTATCTGAGTACAATTTCATTTAAACAGTTTTTATGAATTACAATTCTTTATATAAAACTTATGTTTGAAATATTATATTATTGTTTCACAGTAGATTATAATATCACAGCAGATTTACAGAATTTCCTTTTATTATAGAATCCATTTTTCGATTTCTTTATTTATTTAAAATAAAATTCATGCAGATAAGGAGCCTGTCTTTAAAGTTATCAACCAAACTGTTAAGTTCTATTTTATAACAAAACATAACTCTTTATAAAATAACATATAACTAAAATGTTTTAAATTTAAGGTCATTTTGCTTTTAAACATTTACCAAGAAAACAAATTAAAAGAAAAGCAATAATTAAAAAGTTAATCTTTAAATTTCAAACACATTTAAGACACTTATTTTTAAAAGATAGTATGTATAAGAGAATTACAGCCTCATAGATTTTTAATTTAGATTTAAAAATAGCCTACTTTATTCCAAAGAAACTATTGATTAGTTTTATGAGCATACACATCCTCCATTGACATCACAGAATTTCAAGGTGGGTCATTAAATTAAGAACAATACATTGTTCTTATAACTATAAAATAATTTGGCAAATTAAAACAGTATAATTTGGTAAGCAAATCTTTTAAACACAGTCAGGTCACATCATTGTGGAATTACTAAACACACACTGGCACAAACTATTAATAACTAAATTATTAAAAAAATAAATTTAAAAAAAACAGTTCAAAATCAACAACATTTCTTAAATTAGAAAAACACGTCTTCGTCTTCTATGTCAATCCCGAATGGAGGGGATGGGTATAAACGGCCTTCTAAGCCTAGCATTTTATGATCAGTTTTAGGAATAATTGGAAAGCTGGAGCGAGTTTGAACGCGATGTAAAAAGGCTTCAGCTGCATTTAGCTTAGATATTGACCAGTGCGGCTGAACCCCATCAAAGAATAATTCTTCCACGTATCGTCCCATTTCTAAAGGGAGCCGTGTCGACTGTGGGTCCAGCCGTACCGTCTCATTAGGAGATTTAAAGCTATGGGTGCTGGACATGTTCAAATCATTAGTTTTAACACGAGCCAAATAATGGTAAGACTCATGCAGAGCAAGAGTTAAGAGATCAGCTATGTTATTAGCTGTTCCTTTAGGCCCTGCCAATTTTGTAGTGCAAACTAATATGCCATCCAAAAGACAGCAGCCACGTAGGTTATCCATTGGAGCAAACCTTTTAATGGAATATATGTTCATCTTTGATAATTCGTTTTCCAAATCCTTATCATTTGGGTGACTTGGACCTAATAGGTGTTTTAGAGCCATAGACAATACAGATAGCACAGAAGGTCTAAGGAGAAAAGCCCTAATAATATCATCATACTCTTGAGAGATGGGAGTTACAGACTCTTCAGCGTCATACAATTGGCTTGACTTCAAAATAAATGAAGACATTAGGAAATCATAATATTGCGCAATTGTTTTCTTTCTATGGTTAGGTACTTCATTCACTGAGACGAAAGCCTCATATCTTGTATATAGTACAGTTAAGTCCATTTTAGAAAAGTGTACTAATACTTGAAGATATGTTCTTTTTGTTATATCAGAGAAATCAGATTTTAAAAAATCTATAACATTGTTTATGGTGTCTTTTCTCAGATGTTCACCTTGGCCACAAATATTTAAAATAATGCATTCTTGTAAATCAGACAATTTAAATTCCTTCATAGTAACTATCATTTCATGGGGAGTTCTCGGAGGAATGGAGTAAATATCAAAATTTGCATCACAATATCTTCCAGATACATATTCAAAGAGGCTCATTTTGAATCTAAGGGCAGATACTCACCCCTTTATTTGATTCAGATCTAGTTCTAAAAGACTTTACAGGAACCAGTTTCTTTTCCGCTATCTTTGGTTTTAGTTGCCTTTTCTCTAAAAGATACCTGAAATTTTAACAAATCAGAACATTTTCACAACATTCATTTTAATATAAACTACCTTAAATTAATAAGGCTAAAAAAAATCTAATTAACAATGCAGATTATATAATATATAACACACTTTGTGCAACATATTCAGGTAAAAATTAGTTTAAATTATCACTATAGAGAGCCTGTTTGCATACAAGCGCATGCTAAACTCCCAGCATGAACATATATCAACATAGCCATTTCTCCTTTAAAGAAACTTATGAAAAGAAAATTGTTTCTTGCAAACTATTTCCTTCCACAGCATAAGAGAAGTAAAAATTCTTTATCCTGAAATTCGATTTGTTAAGAGCATGACAGCCTAGGACTCTTCTTTTGTAGAGACTCCATAAAACTCAATCTTCTTGCAATGTCTTAGTTTCTTTTTCAAGAAAATCCCTTTATTTATTAAAATATTTAGCCCACTCTAGTCTAGGAGTCCAGCATAGCTACAACCTTTTAATAATTTTATGATTAAAAGACCACACAGATGAAATTTCTGCCTGAAGAGTTGAAGTTTTAAAAGCAGTTATATTGCTTTTGAAAGTATATTTGTATAATTTGATAAAGGAATAAAAGGGAACTATATGCAAGCACCGGCGACGACTCAAACAGTATTGTTTTATGAAAGCCAAGTGTTGTAACATCTTCAAAGATTTAATTTTATCATTTAAATAGATATCAATATTCATGTTTCTACCCAGCCGACAGAAATAGGAGAGTCCCACGAAATGGAACTAAAGCAATGCATTTCATATTCGCTCAACTAGAGTAACTAACAACTCATTTCTTAGCTTCTACACCACAATATCTTATTTAATAATTTTATGAACATTTTAAATAATTGTCAGCATAATAAACTACAAAACTTAGACATTACCAGGGTTGCAAAAAATCCGGGTTTTTCCTTAAAAATCCAGCTCAAGTGAGTTTTTCTGGGTTTCATTGGGCTTTTTTTTTTAAAAAAAAAAAAGAGAGCAGGGATAAGTTCCTTTTTTAAAAAAGCTTATTTCAATTATAATTAAGTTTAATTTTATGAATTGACTTAACATATAGATAATTAAAAATTAATACAAATAGATTGGTGCAAAAATCTGAAAAAGTTTCTTCAGACATCACGACATAAAATGCTATAGGTACTCACATACATCACACATTTGAAACTTGTTTTACAGGGGTGATTGTGAGCCCAAGTCAAAATTCTGGAAAATTTCTAAAGTTTAAAAAAAAAAAGTTTAAGTTGAAAAATTAGAAAAAAATTTAAACAAGGTTTTTTTTTCTTCCTTTTTCTTAATATTTCTCAGATTACTTAAAATATATTTAAAATTTTATACATACCTATACCATTTACACATACCTATGATGACCTGGAGAAGTAATTAAAATTAACAAATATGACTTTCTTGCTTGAGTTTATGATCATAACTATTAACTGACAAAAAATGAATATTAATCATGAATATAAGCTTATAATGTATCTCACAAACAAAATAAACTGTGCTTTTATGTTCCACCTTTCAGGGATGAGATTAGCCAAAAGGCAAAAAAGTTGAATTTCCACGATAGTAAATTTTACGCAAGCGCAACCCTTTAATAATAAATTGCAGGCAGTTTAAGGTAATAAATAATGTGTTGACATACAATTGTGTACTAATCTATTATTATATAAATGATTACATTGATACTTAACATTTAGTGAAAATAAAAATTACGAATTGAAAAGCTGGAAATTACATTTTTCCTCAGTTCACATAAGAGGCAATTATTACTTGAAAAACTACCTGCTTTAGCAAATTAAAACTACTGAGAATATACATTAATATTTCATTTCTTTTAATAAATACTGTTATGTGATTTATAGCAAATATATCAGTAATATTACTTTTTAAATAATATTGAAAAAAAAACAAACAGGCCCATTCCATAGTGACGTGTGTGACATTCGGAGTCACTTTACAATGATGTTTTACAATAAAAATACCCTCTCCTAAAATTGATGGGAAAAGCTTGTTAATATGGTTTTGTTATGCATGAGTGACAGGACATTTTAGTGTAAAAAGCATTTAGTTTTAGTTTTTGCTTTAAATAGAAAACGACTTTAAAGTCATGTGACGTGTGTGACGATTTTGTAAGGAAAATTTTCAGGTTGATCTGCAAATTAAATTTTTTCTGTGATTTATATTGATATATAATATTTATTTTAATTTAAATGGGTAATAGATACTTCATATAATTTCTATCAATCACTGTTTTATTATTTCAAGTCATGCATATTTAATTAAAAAATAAAAATGCTTGTGACGTGTGTGACTTCAATTGTGACGTGTGTGACACGTGCAAATAGTTATAAAATTATTTATTATGAAACTTAGGCAATAGGAAAAACTTACAAATTAATTGAGTAAAATAGGTAAAATAAGGTTTAGCAGCATATTTTTAAATAAGAATATTGTAATTTATAGTTTCTCAAAGTAAAATTGTCCACGTGAAGTAGCTGGAATCGGAGGATCAAGTTTTCCAATTACATTGCCAAATGTATAGTGGGCAATGTCAGGGTTTCTTGGCCATTTCCAGTACTTTCCAGATCTAATCATACAAGAGACTTCAATTTCTTCTGTTTTTACAGTTTTCACTTCACCAGGATACTTTTCTGCGTCATAAGTCACAAGCACCCAATCTCCTTCACTGTAGGTTTCACATTCATTACTTCGTGCTGACTTAAGAAGTTTAATATTTCCTTCAGAGGAACATTCAATTACATGGATCTGTTTGATGCCTGTTACTTGAAGTACTTCTTCATTCCATAGTGACATTGAAATTGACTTTTCAGTAATTTCTGCTTG